AGAGAGAGAGAGAGAGAGAGAGAGAGAGAGAGAGAGAGAGAGAGAGAGAGAGAGAGAGAGAGAGAGAGAGACGAACAAATAAAGCCCAGTTTGGAGGGCAAATGTGACCTGCACAATTTTATTCATGAACGCTTCACAAATGGTGAGGCACATGCTCTGCATTTTGTCTGAAGTGGAAGTAACCAAAGAATGAACAAGTGATGCTAGAGTGTAAGGATGCCGGAGGCAGAGAGATTACCAGAGATAGATGCTTAAAGAAGAAGATGCAGACGATAAGGTGCTCATTGGAGCATTGTCTCAAGCTGAAGGATGCATGATAGAAGGAGAGTTTCCTCCACTTTCGTTGGCCATAGAGATATAAATAAATACCACATAAACTTATAACAGGGAAGGGGAGCCACACTCAAAAGGCTAAATGAGCAAATCAATGAGGGAGAATGGCCAGTAGGAGAAAACTGCCAGAGGAGGAGGAGGAGGAGGAAGAAGAAGTTGATGGAGAGGAGCATTGAAAGTAGAGCTGCAGCACAACTTGAAGGACCTGGCGGGAACAACAAGAACTTCTATGACAAGGATAAAAGTGCAACACGTGTCTCCAGGTAGAAGCGGCGGGGAATTCTCCTCAGTCTCCTCATTCCACAAGGTGTGGAAAAAGAGCTCGCTTATCAAATGGCAGAGGAACAAATCCGTACGAATGGTGTAGTCTGCGAACGAATCCGGACGAATGGTGTTTTCCGTGAACGAATCCGGACGAATGGTGTTGTCCGCTGAACGACCGAATACATGTCGGCGGGGAATTCTCCTCCCTCTCGCCGTTCCACTAGATGTGGAAGAAGAGCTCGCTTATCGAATGGCAGAGGAACGAATCCGGACGAATAAGGTTGTCCACTGGACGAACGACTGCATGTCTTCATTGGCTTAGATCGCACCACGTGTGCTCTAAAAAGGACACGGCACGAATATAGCCATGGTAGCCAGCACTTGTGGCCCCATCAATGGTAAAAACAATGGTTGAAACCACTTTTTTTACCATGAGGTTAAACCTGGTACATTGCCATGGTTCTTTAACCATACATCAATGGTTGACACCATTCATGAACATGGTTAAAAAAAAGAAAAGGTGCATTGCTATGGTATTTACCATGGTATTTACCATGGCGATACACATGCACCCATCGAAGCGTAAGCGGCGGTTGCAACCACTTACTACCATGCGTAAAAATGGTACATTTTTAACCATTTGTTAGGCTTTTTACGACCATGCAATACGGTGGTAATACTCAAGCCCGGCGGTAATACTCGAGCCCGGCGGTAATACACGTGCCCGTCAGTGGTGGACAATGGTCAAAACCAGCTACGAGTCTAACCATGTGGTTTTTTAACCTTGTGTTTTTTTAACCATGTGGATTTTTAACCATGTATCATGGTTGTTAGGGTTGAAAAGCACCACTTATGACACATTGCTAAAATGGGTGGGTACCTTGCATGATGATGCACAGGTGCCAATCCATGGTTCAGTGTGGTTAAAACCACTTGGACCATGATGGTTAAGAATGGTACATTACCATAGTCTATTTTTCACCATGTGTTATAAATGGTTGAAACCACTTAGTATAACCATAACCATGATTACAACTGGTAGTTTCAACCATTTACTGCAGTCAATGCGCAGTACGTTGCTATGGTAGTTACCGCGCATTGACTGCGCCGATACGGACAAGTACAGACACATTATAGAATATATATGGGGCCTATAATCGCAGTGAAAATAGAAGCTGCCGTTGATTTGCCCCTCGTAAAAGGCTGGCTTGACATGCGATCCCCCCTTCTAGACCCCTGTACAGAGCGTAATTTACGCCCTTCCCCCCTTCTAGACCCCTGTACAAAGTGTCGTTTACCCCATTCAAGCTCAGCTGCAGATGCCGATGCCTTGAGAGCCCCCCCCCCACTTCTAGGCCCCTGTACAGCGCATAATTTCCCCGCTTCCCGGCTTCTACACCCCTGCACAGAGCGTAATTTACCCCCTTCCCCGCTTCTACACCCCTGTACAGAGCGCAATTTACCCCATTCAATCTAAGGTGCAGACTTCGATGCCGCAAAAGTCCGCGCCCGCTAGCAATACCATTTCGCCCCACACAGGGACCACACGAGACCCAGGACAAACCGGTCGGAGCAGCCGACTGAACCAGGACCAGGAACGCGTCCGCGAGCCCAGATGCAGGGCGGAGATCTGATGCCGCTGATGCCCCTGATGCCCCTGCTGACCTTTCGGTTCTTCCTATCCCCCTTTTCGCCGAAAAGTCCTTCACTAAGATCGTCAGCCGCAAGAGTGAGGTTCCTGGCCTCCCGACACCGACAGTAAGGGGTCCAGATCCCGACCCCGCCCATGTCGGAGTTCCGAGGGACGGCCTCAGAGGGTGGGCGACAGTCTGAAGCAACGACGTCCCAAGATCGCGCCACGTGTCGATCGGGATCGGCATGCCAGACTGCGGCTGCGCCCGAGGAACATGTACCGTGCTCGTCCGCCCACAAGAACGCCTCCCTGTCTTCCATGACACGACCGGAAGTGGACGTAGACATCGAAGGCCACCACCACCACCTCCCCCTCCTCCTTCTGCTCTCCCTCCCCCTCCCCCTCCCTCTGCCACTGCGCGCCAACCGGAGACTCCTCTCGGATGCCTGCGGGGGCAATCGAACCCCATGGACGCTCGACTGAATGCCACCTGCTGCTGGCTTTCCGCGGCATTGACGTCGGCGCTCTCCGCAGCCGCACCACGAGACGAAACCGCCGCGAAACTTCCAAAACGACCCCCACTGTCATCAACATCCTCTCCCCGCCTGTCCCCGTGCTTCCCTTCCCCCCCTGATGAGCCGGCGGCCCCCAACTGGCCACTGCCGGGGAGCTGGACCCGGGGGTGAGCTTCCCACGGCCCCAGGACTACCGCCTGCTGCTGCTGCTGCTGCTGCTGCTGCTGCTGCTGATCCGTCTCTTCTCCCATGCCGATCCCAATCCCGCGGTCGAGATCGCGATATAGCGGCTGTACTTCGACTCGGGAGCTTGCGAACGCCGCAGCAGCAGAAGCTGCAGCTGCAGCTGCAGCTGCAGTGCCTCTTCTACCTCCTCCTCCTCCTCCTCCTCCTCCTCCTCCTCCTCCTCCTTCACGATCTCCCTCATCAGACTGTCGCCCCCTCGACAGAGAATCGGCGCGCTCTGGTTTCGGCCGTCCTCCTACTGCGACCACCACTCTTCTCCTTGACCCACTGCTGCTGCTGCTGCTGCTGCTGCTGCCATTACTACCACCGCCGTTATGACCACCATCTTCTTCTCCACGGGATCGTCGCTGATCAGTTTCCCTCCTATCTCCATCGACGGCCCTCCCTTCTTCATATCCCCGGGATTTTTCTGCTGACGCCGCGCCCGTGCCGCCCCCCCCTCTTACGCTCGCCCTTCCCGCGCCATTTCCCCTCTCCTCCCTCTCTCGGGGGTCTACCTCCCCTTTGAAACCCGTCATTCCCCCCCCACGTCCCCTCTGCCCCTTTTCTTCTCGGCCTGCTATGTGGCGACCTGGGGGAGTCGGGATGTCTACTCCCGCTCTCCTCTTGACCCCGCCACTTACGGGGGCAGAAGCGGAAGGAGAACGAGGAGGGAGGGGAGACGGGATCCCGACGCGACCACTCCTTCCCGCTTGCGCCGCCACGTGTCCCGCTCCTGCTGCTGCTGCTGCTCCCGCTCGTTTACTGTAGCGTTGCTGCTCTCCTCCGCCTGCCATGGGTGCAGTTGATTCTCGTCCTTCTCCTCCTCCCTTCAACCTCTCCCTCCCGCCAAGGAGGACTCTCTCCGCCTCGCGCGGGAAGCCGCAACTCCGCCAAGCCTCCGCCGCCACCTCGTAGCTCCTCTGTGTCGGGATCACCCCCATTCTCTCCATCTCATTGAGCAGCCTCTCCCCCTCTCTCGGCCTCTCTACTATGCCGTACCCCCAGATTAGCGTGTTGTAGGTCCAGTCGTTGGGTTGAACGCCTTCGGCGCGCATTGCTCCCAAGAACCCCCTCGCCTTCTCTACCTCCCCCTCCCTGCAAAAGGCGCCAATGAGCAACGTGTACACGACCACGTTAGGTTTCACGCCCTTCTCCACCATCTCCCAAAGAACAGATTCGCACTCGTCGGGGGATCGAGACCTGGCCGAGGCTTTCATCAAAGTGGAGTACGCTTCGACGTCGGGGTTCAGGCCGTTGTCAATCATCCGCTCAAAGATTGCACGAGCGCGTGCCACGTGGCCGCCATTGGCCAGTCCATTCATCATGGTCGTGTAGGAGGTGATGTCAGGGGTGACCCCCGAGGTTCTCTCCATGCTCCCCAGCATTCTCTCCGCCTCCTCCAGCCGCCCCGCCTTCACGTACCCCTTCAGCACCATGTTCATCAGCGCGGCCGAGATCCCGACTCCGCCGCGTCGCATCCGTCCCAGCAAGATCAGCGCTTGATCGACGGCTCCCGCCTCGCAATAAGCGTGCACAGCGGCGCCGTAGGCCATGAGCTTCTCCCGCGCAGAGGATGTGGCCGTCTGAGAAGAAGAAGACGAGGAATAAGACGAGTAAGAAGAAGAGGAGGAGGAGGAAGAAGAAGACTTGCGCCGGCGATGGCGGCGTGACTGTTGCTTTGCCAGCTCCGCCTCCACCTGGCGCACAAGCCTTTCACCCACCTCCGGCTTGCCGGCCTTTCCGTACACCCTCACGAGCGCGGCGTAGGAGACGCGATCGGGATACACCCCATCGGCGCGCATCATCCCCATCACCTCCTCCACTCTTTCCACCTCTCCCTTCGCCGCCCAGGCGCCAAGAAGCACATTGTACGTAACCGTATTCCTCTCGACCTCCTCCTCCTCCCCCTCCTCCCCCCCCCACCTCCTTAAGCCTTTCATTCTCTGCAAGAGCTCCATTGCCTCCCCCTCCCTCCCTGCTCTGCAATATCCTTTCAGCAGTATGTTGAAGCTAGTCGTTGACAAGCGCACCTTTCGCTCTCCCATTCTGTCCGCCAGCTTCATCGCTTCCTCCACGTGGCCTCTTCCGCAATAGCCGTTGAGCAGGGCGTTGTAGCACTGAGCGTCCACGTCAGCATCCCACTCCCTCTCACATTCCTCAAGCAAGGCCAGCGACTTGTCGAACTGCCCCTTCTCCGCCAAGATGCTAATCATCAGAGTGTAGGTCTCGACAGCGGGGCGATGAATGTGGTCATTCTGCAAGCCGCGGAAAATCTCCGCCGCGCCGGTCACATCTCCCGCCAATTTGCAATGCTTGATCTCCTCCGTTCGTTCATACACCACGTGGCACAATTGTCGTCTTCTGCGCGATCCGTGTGTCGCGCTGGTCTCCGCGAAGCAGCGCCGGCATGGGCGCGCAGCATTATTCACCGATAACGCTTCTTCGTCGGGATCCCCGCCCGGGCTGCTTCTCTCTTCCTCCGCCATCATCGGACCTTCCGCTCCACGCGGAGATAGCCGCGGCGGACAATTGCTTCGAAATTGGACTCGGATATGGTCGAAGAGGAGGAAGCGGAAGAAGAAAGGGAGGAGGAGGAGGAGGAAGAAGCGAAGAGGAAGAGGACGAAGAAAGGGAGCAAGGGGAGGAGGAGGAGGAGGAGGAGGAGGTAAACGAAGAAGAGATGGTAGTCGTGGTGATGCAGGAGGAGGAGGAGGAGGAGAACGAGGGAGAGAAAAGCGGAGTAGGAGATCACTACCTCGTTTATCTCTTCAATTATCGCAGCTGCCACGTCAGCAGGCCACGTCAGCAGGCCACGTCAGCAGGCCACGTCAGCAGGCCGCGTCAGCAGGCCGCGTCAGCAGGCCACGTCAGCAGTTCCGAGGCAATCATACGCTCGGCTCGTCTTCATCAACTCCCATCTTGCCTCAGAAGGATTCGTCCATATCCTCCTCCTCTCTACGTTCTCGTCATCTGCACCTCTTCCCGCCGCTTGTGCTACTACTGGGGCCCGGGATCCCGACTGTCCCCGTCGGAGATCCCGACCCTCCACTACTTCGAGGACTCTCGACTCCCCGCTGTCGAGGGATCTCGACGTCCCCCCTCCAGGACTCGAGCAATCTTCACTCCGCCCGTCGTCCCGCCGCCTCAATGAGCGTCGGTGAAAAAGCGACGAGGGAACAAGAGAACAGCAGGAAGAGAAGAGGAGCCGGAGGAGGAGAAGGAGGAGAAGGAGGAGGAGAAGGAGGAGAAGGAGGAGAAGGAGGAGGAGGAGGAAGACGAGCAGCAGCGCCGTGGTCTCCGCGAGCGCATCAGCGGCCGGATTCCGCACGCTTCTGGTGCGCTCCCGCACACTTCTAAAAAAAAAAACCATCTCCGCATGCGACCACCTCGCCAACCAAAACTCAGGTCTGCGGAACCGGCGCAAATCGAAAATCAGACAAACTCAAAAAAAACAAAAAAAACAAAAAAAACAAAACAAAAAAAAGAAGAAAAGAAAAGAAAAGAAAAGAAAGAAAGAACGACTATTGTTGTTTTTGAGCGTTCAAAACACACTCCGGAAATCACCCGCGACGCCGCCCGAAATCCGGTCCATAACGGCCTTTCTTTTTTTTCTTTTTTTTTTTGTTTTTGGATGCGGCCTTTCTGAAGCTTCCCGCCAAAACAGGCGAAGCGAACCGCCCAACAGCGCCGTCCACATTCGACAAATCACGATTGGATACTGGATAATGGATATGGATGTAGATTCATGTAGATATGATTTTTGTTTTTCCTTTTTCTTTTAGGGGTTATAATTTGCAACATACCCCCATAAGTTGAGTTATGCCAAAATGCCCCTGAAAGATGTGGGTAGAGGGAAATGCGCTTTTGGGCCGAAATCTTTGTGTTATGGCCCTTTCAGGCCGGTGTGCTTTTTTTTTTTTCTCTTCTTTCCTAGGCTTGCGCAGCCCTCTGCTGCAAGTGCAATGCAGAGGCAACGCTGGAGGAGTTTGCAAAGCCCTTTAGGCTGCTCTTGTACTGGTTGTGTTTTGTCGTTTAGTGAAAGTTTCCATTTCGGGAAACATCGTGAGGGACAATGACGCAGGGAGAGGTCGGTTTCGGGGTGTTAAATAATGCAAGGGATGGGCGCATGCGGATTTCAGGGTGTTGAAAATTGCAAGGGATGGGCCGATTTCGGGGTGTTGAAAAATGCAAGGGATGGGCGCCTTGTCGGAAGGCCTGACATTCAGGCCCTCCACGGTGTGTCAATTTACCACACCGGTTCGGAGGGCTGACCCGCTCTGTGGGAGTAACTGGTCTAACCGGAGAGGACTGCTTACACTTTTGGTCAGGATGGTCAACATGGAATGTCCCAGGTATAGTCCCGTATTTTTATTTTTAGGGAGAACTTGCAAAATACCCCCATAGGTTGAGATATATGCCAAAATGCCCCTGAAAGATGTGGGTAGAGCGGAATGCCCTTTTGGGCTAGGCTGCCAGCCAGGCTGCCCGGGTCCCGGGTGGCCAGCCCGTGCAAGGCGAAGGTCCAAGCAAAAAAAAAAAAAAAAACACCGAAAAAAAACTATGTTATGCAGAAAAATACATCGAACAACTTTTGCCTCAGGGCCACATCAAAATTCTTCACCGAATTTAAAATAAAAAATAAAATTTAAAAATATTATTTTTATTTTTTATTTTTTTTATTATTTTTGGCCCGGCCAAGCAAGTGACCCCGGGCCACTCTGGTAGCCTAGCTTTTGGGCCAAAATCTTTGCGTTGAGCCCCTGTCAGGTGGGTGTGCAACTTTGCAATCTGGACCTCCCTGTTTGGGCCTTGGCCTTTTGCAATAGCACCTAGGAAAAGTTGGCAAGTACTTGGGCATTTTGCAAAGTTGGAGGGTACCCAGTAGGGGTATATTGCAAGGATGGGGTCCAACCGACAACAGGGGTATTTCACAAAATATATCTTTTGTCAGAGGGGCATTCCGCTCTACCCACATCTTTTAGGGGCATTTTGGCATATATCTCAACTTCTGGGGGTATTTTGCAAATTATCCCTTGTTTTTATTATTGTTTATTATTATTGATTATTATTAATAATTTATTATTATTCAAACGTGACTGAAATCTGAGGTATGGTTGTCAGAGGGTTTGACGGCCTGGACCACTTGGGGCGGGATTAGTGAAACGTGCCGCTGAATTTTTTTGTGAAGGGTTCACGCAGTTCTGAACAAAAAATCATAATAATAAATAAAAAGTGATTCCATAAAAGCGGCCCTGAGCCACAGGCCTGCGCATACTGTCGAGAAATTGTGTCCGCTGCAGCGCTACCGGGCCTGGAGTGAGCACCAGCAGCCTAAGTGGTGGCGGTATGCACTTTGGCCAGACTTGGGTTTAGACCAGAGGGTGCATGCCAAGCCTATATTTGTGCTACAGGCCTAGGAACCTGCTCCGCCTGAGGGAGTATCGCACATGGAACCAGCACCAGCATGGGGACTACCAGACTTGGGATCAGCCTCAGCGGCAGTGTTGACGCGTCTGGTCTACTAAGACGACATTCTCTCTTGTTTGAAAAGGGGCATTCTCGTGGCTTTGGGCAGGGACACACAAGCCAACTGTTCGCCCAGGGGGATTGCCACCGAACAATTAGTATGAAAACAAGGGTTCTGACTTTGTCTCGCAAGTTGTTCTTGGCACGCGTGACCGATGTCGCATGGGAGGCAAAGAGAACGACTCCCCGGGCACGCGCCACATGTTTGACCAAGCGGACTGCCACCTGGCAGTTACAGGGCATGAGGATCGACCTCTTCAGCGGGGATTGTTCTAGATATACTTCACTCATATTCAAGGTATAAACAGTAGCAGAAAGTGTGACAGAGGAGAGACAAAGAGAACGATAGTGAAAACAAAGAGGGCTCAAAGTGACAGTGTGGTGACTAGTATAGTGGGTATGAACACTGCCACAATGATAAGATGGTGGTACGCTAAGTAAGATATGTTGGTGAGCGCCAATATCGATGTCGTTGTGATTCGGTAGAGCAACCTAGCTGGACCGATGTGAGACAACTAATCGGGTGAGGGATGGAGACCCGTAGAGGTTAAATCAGGCAGCCCGCGGAAAGCGAACTAGAAGTAAGAAGTTCAGGGAAGTGGCGCTGGTTCGTGCATGTTCATGTGAACAAGCGGGCTATAGTCAACGCAAACATGTATGTTGAGATGATGCTTGTTCCCTGTTGAGGGGAAGTAAGTAAGTGATTAGGAAAACGCACCTGTTTCTATTTTTACGGAACATTAATTCTCATTCTCTCAACTTGGCGATGTATCTTTCAGTGTTCATGCAAATGGTTCGCTCTTACTCCTTCATTTGGTGACTGATTCAGTGGAGTCGTTATACACTCAGTTTGTGTGCCAGCACACTGGGGGGGGGGACTCAAAGAGAGAGAGAGGTCTGCAAGTTGGATACTAGGACGAGAAGCTAACTACCACTTTTGTACTAAAGATCGACTAAATTCATTGCAATCAACTTAAGCCTACTTGATGTCAAAAGACAGAGAGCGAGGGAGACATAGAAAGAGAGAGGGAAAAAAGAGATACATATCTGACCGAGAAGTGGGAAAAAAGTTGAGAGAGTCGGGATGAGAGGTTCCGTACGAAATTTTGACACGGTGGTGTATTGATAATCGTAACCTTTTATTGGAGTTATGTTTTGGAAATCGGTTTCTGCATGTTTCTAGTAGGGCACTTAAAAACGCGGAGATTGATCGTTGCGATCTTCACTCTAACAACGTCAATACATCATTAGAATCGGTATTGTGAACCACAAGTGGTTTTCCCCGTTTAATTGTGAAGTGAGAAGTTGAACGGGAGGAGAGTAAAAGAGGGAAAATGCCAACAAAGGAACGGGGCATGTTGACAGATGATGAGATATGTAGTGCACAAAGAAGCACGGGGAGAGAGAAAGAGAGAGAACCGGATCAAGCACAGGTCATAAATTTAGTTGGAAGAGAGAGATCAAACCTCAAATCGTCCTTCAACGAATCACAAAAAATACCTTTTATTTAATTATCTATTTGTTTATTTATGTAGTTTCACTTATAAGTTTGTTGCTCAGCTATTTGGCAGACTTTGGCTGACTGATTGTAGGATGAATGTTAACGGTCCCTCAACCTTGAGGAGGAGCAGAGTGTTGCAACGCGCTGCAGCCTTGTAGCCATTAGATTTGCCTTAAATCCCCATCTGCCTTTTGTCTGGTTGATTACAGGTTGAGCAACAAGGGAACCCCCTCCCTGAGCCTTGAGTATAAAGACATCCAGTCTTCTGCCTCATAAAAACTGAGGATATTTATTTTTATATTTTGACTTATCTTCATCACGACCGTGAACCAATTACCAAATAGCATAACAGGCTAGCAACCCTAAGCGAAGGTAACTAGCTATTCAAATTCAAGTTGAAAGCGGCTCCAACATCCAACCTCACATCTTAGAGAGACTAAGTTGGAAAATTAATTATTTGACTAATTATTAATTAGTAGTTTGATCAGCCACTTGACAACAACGTAGGCTAACAACCCCGAGTGAGGACCAAGTCAACATTCAGTCATGATGCTCATTTAGATTAACAAATCAATTATGAGCGACCGTGTTATGGTGGCTTACTTGGCTACTTGATTATGATCCAAGCAACATAGATTGGTGGCCCTAAGTGAAGGTTTCACTAGCTCTCGGTCTCCTTACCCGTTTCAGTGCGAACTACGATGCAGGTTGAAGAGAAGGCTATACTAGTGCCTACCCTTGCGGCTCGGTGAAATAATTACGATAATTAATTGATTATCTACTGGTAGCATGCAGACAATAACACAGACTGGCAATGTGATGCTTACTCCAACACTTACGTCACTCAATGATAATATAAATTAAATACATGTTTCGTCAATAACCTATTTGGCTACTTGGTAATATGTAAGTTGCACCCTTGTGCAATAATTAAACTAGGGTTGTGCACATTGCAACCCCA